ACTTAATACTTAATATTAAGTTTTGGCATACATACTCATGTATGCCAAAAACTCAGCAACAAACATTTTGAGGTAACAGATATTCATTTTATTACCACCATTACAGAAGAGAAATTAGAAACTGCTACAATACATATGGTATGAATTGATAGGTACTACAGGAGTTATGTGGTGGGAATAATCATGTAGAATTTGGATAATTAGAAAATGTTTCACGGGAGAAGTGAGATTTGAGGTCTTGACAGAAGGTCAAGACTTGGTAAGCAGAGAAAAAAAGAATGTTCTAAGTGTTCACTAGGAAGCGGTAGAAACGAATGTGGCTTCTCTGGGGAACCATTACGAGAACAGTTTGATTAGACCAAAAAAATTCAGCATGACTGCATGATCCCTTCAAAGTGAGGACAACACTGTCATATGTAGCTAACATATTAAACAGCAATAGGTCAACAAAAAGAGATCAAGGCCCTTGGGATTCTAATCTACTTCCTTCTACTAACCAGATACATCAATTATGAATTTCATTACTCTGAAAGAATATACAGACATCTGTGTTATCTAACTGACCGCACAGAATTACTTATTACTGGGATAAAGGGGAATACTTGTTTTAACTTTAAACAAAACGTTACTCAAAATTGGGAAGAAATTTATGTAACTATTACAATGTAACCTTATTAGAAACCCTTAATCCACCCTAACTAAACACTAAGCTTTTAAATTCACTGCTTAACTGTATGCATTTAAGGGTGAAGGAGTTGGAGCACTTGGGAAAGACTGGGTTTAATGGACTAGATGCCTCAGAAAAGGTTAAGAGCAGGACAAAGAACTAAATCTCTTGTTTTCCTGGAAAGAAAAAGCAGAAATGATTAGGAGCAGAGTGACTGGATAATCTGTCACCCAAATTAGGACAGTGAAGAGTGTGAAGGAACGTGGCATTAATAATTTCACTGGACAAGCATAAATTGGGACATATGATCACTCTTGTCTTTATGTGTATAGTATGTCAAATTTTCCTAAAGGCAATGAGGAATCAGAAAAATTTTAAATAGGAGTGACAGTATCACATGTGCTTTTAAGAAAGCTGACTTTGACAGCAATGAGGATGTGAAAGATATGAAGGAGGGAACTTAGGATGTAGGAGGTTGTTTTAACAATTCTATGATACGATAATGGGCTAAACTAAAGTCAGGGCAGTGGAGATAGAGAGGACAAATCACAGAACTACACTGGAGGTACAATCTTTACATTTACTCTGAACTAAAATGAAATAATCCTTCATATGCATACTTTGTTTTCAAAGGAATTTGGAGAAAAGACACAACAGCTAATTGCTATCTTACCAAAACAAAACAAAACAAAAAAGACAAAAACAAAAAAAATTTTAAGCACAAAGAATGGGAGAAGTGCTTAAACTAGACCATTACTTCATACCTAAAAGAACAGTCATTTGACCAAATCTCCATGTACCAAATGCAGAATATTTCAGCTTCTTCTCTTCTTCCAATCAATCTCCATCTCTGTTTAATTCTCAATTTATTTTTTTTCCTTTTTTTTTAAAATTTACTTTTATTATCACTTCCTTTTGCTTCCCATCTGGCTTTTATTCTTTTAAGTGTACACCATACACCAGTGGGGAGGTATTTATTCTCCCCACCCTCACTCTCAATATTGGTCCCTGTTTCAAAACATTAGAACATATTTCCTTTCCAACTTAAGCCTCAAATGCTTAGCCAATGAATTAGGTTGTTATGGCTATTAAGTAATAGTCAAGGCCATCTTATTGGATTTCTAAATTCTCAAGATTCCTGCTATATATCACACTAGGATTATTTCATTGTTTTGTTCTTCTGTTTGCTATCTTTCTTACACATCTTAATACCCTCACCTCAATGTTTCCACGGTAGACATTTTCTCCCTTGATCTTTTTGTCTGCCTACATTTTTTGAGAACAAGAGCTCCCAGATCTGGGGATATAGTCGTACTACACTGCCACATAGGAAAGGAGGGTTTACATGCTCACAGCTTCAGGAAATGGGGCTAAAGTGGGTTTTAACAGAAGATCTCAACAAAAGCAAAGCAGGTTTTGTTTCCAGACTCCCGTTTACCTGCCCTCCAAAGGCAAAAAGCTCTTCTCTTTAGAGAACATTTTGTATGTTTTAAAAAAATAAGTCCATTGGCTGCCTAGCATAAGAGAGCATTTCTCAAGTTGGTGTTCACTATCACAAGGCAGGGGAGAGGGGACTGAGTTCCCTCTAGAAATTTAAAATTTTGTATTATTATGTTGATAATAATCTACTTTTTTTTTTTTGCGGTACGCGGGCCTCTCACTGTTGTGGCCTCTCCCGTTGCGGAGCACAGGCTCCGGATGCGCAGGCTCAGCGGCCATGGCTCACGGGCCCAGCTGCTCCGCAGCATGTGGGATCTTCCCGGACCGGGGCACGAACCCATGTCCCCTGCATCGGCAGGTGGACTCTCAACCACTGCGCCACCAGGGAAGCCTCAATAATAATCTACTTTTAAAAATCAATATATTCTGAATCACCTGGATGACAGAGTAGTGCCATGGAATTTCTATGTCTGAATTTGGTTTTGTGTTTACACCCACAATAACAGCAACCTAATGGTGTGCACTATTAAGAAATTAACATAAGTGTACTATCACATAATAAATGCATTTGTACCAAGTGAGAACCCAATTATGTTACATATATGAATGAAGAGTTCACAAGAGTTTGAAGAGACAAAATAGGTGGGAGAATTAAGTTATTATTCTACACATGGTATAGGAATGGAAGCCTAAATAAAACAAACAAGTAAAAGGGCTTTGTATAGATTATTCAAGTTCGAAAAGCATTAGTGTAAGATATAGAAACATCAGGAATCCACAAAGGCAAAAGAAGATGTAAAGCATGCAAATTCACCACAAATCTTCAATTGCCTGCATGGTAATTATAATAAATCATTCCCCACATACCATCCCGGCTAATACTTGAAGAGATATAATCCAGGGGAAAAAAATGCAGAATATGACACACACTAATACTGGTGTCAGTCTTGATTTAAAAAAAAAAAAATTGAGGACAAGGACTACTAAATAAGATCTCATGACCTCGTTTCAGCATTATATTGGTCAGAAACTCTATACATGTGATGAATACTTAGATTAGATTCAACCAAAAAGAATTTTACTTTTCTTTCTTCCTAAAAATAACATGCTTATTAAATAAAATATGGAAATATAGAAATGCAGAACAAAGAAAATAAAATCACCTACACTCTTCTTACCCTAACTACTATTATTAGCATTTTGGAATATTTCACTGTATTAATTCAATACACAGAATTCTCTTTGCTTTTTGTTTCTCTTTAACATGGTTGAAATCACTTGTTACAAACACTTTAACTTGAAGTAACTTTGCTGGATTCAGACTGTAACTCAGCTTCTAAATCCAAACAGGCCACCTAGGATTCTCTGAGTTTAGAATGAGTGAGAGACCCTAAATATCTTCTGACCCAGACTCAAAATAAACTTGAAGTACAAAGACCAAAGAATGATTTACCTCAGAATATTTAGTGTTTATTGTAAACTTCAAAGAAGGGTGGAGAGGGCAACATCTTAGTCAGTGAAAGCTAAAACCTATAGCTCTGGCACTAAAATATTACTGAGGTCTTTGATTCTAAATAATAAATAATTAGTAATAAGAGGATTTTCTGAAGTGAAGAGAGGTGAAGAGAAGTGAAGATAGTGATTAACTCGAAGGAAAGTAACTTGAATCATAATACAACTTATAGAAAGAGACCTACTTTTAATCTAAAAATGTAAATTATTTTACCTAGCCCTAAATTACTTCACCTCTTATTATAAAAGATGTACAACCAATTAAATGAACTTGTCAATGATCAAAACATGTTATATATATACATTTTTAAATATACAAAGTCTCTGCTTGAAATACATATTAAAAAGCTGAAAACTTCCAACCCACAAACTATATAATGAAATGTACGTAAATTGGGAAGGGCAATGCATGCATAGCACGTAACTAGAAGTTTAAAAGACCAGGCATTAAACACACACACACACACACACACACACACACACACACACACACACGAGAAGAAGCTTAATCCTGGCTTTGTCACAGCCACCTATGGAATCTTGGATAAGTCATCTGACATGTTTAGCCAGAGTTTCAGAATCTATAAAATGAGAGATTCACTCTAGCTATAAACCCTATTGAGATTTTTTTCTTTTCCCTCTGCATACAATCTCACAAATCAAACTGACATGAAAACAACTTCGTAATAAAATCTCCCTAGAATCATCTCAATTAAGTATCAAAGCAAAAAATAAAGTCTTCTCATAAATTAGTACTTATGGCTCTTAGAATTGGCTCCGTCTAAGTGTTGCGGTTAGGCGTTTCCAATGGCTAGTGACACGCTGTTGACATATTAATTGCTTTCAATGTATACTACTAGTATGATCAAATCTTCATTTTATTCCTGCTCCCAAAACACCAATAGGAAAGTAAACAAAAGAACACAAAATATCATCTGTAATATGGTCTATATATTAACAGTTAAAAAAATAAAAATATATAAAATGTATATTTTCATATGCTTATGATACTGAACTAATAATAAACACTTCTAACTATGTAAAGAAATTACTTCTGAATTTTAAGTAGTCAAAATTTATATATAAGATCCTGCTCCTAATGAAATTCTTTATTTGAATGCTATGTATATGTATTGTCCTGATCCTACAAATAAAAACCCAGGCTGAAAACTTCCTATAGGAAGTCAGTGGGGATGAAACTATATGGTCAATGAAACACTGAAGTACAGCTATCTAATTATCTTTATGTGCAGAAGTGCTATTGTACTTTGTACTCTGGCAGCCATCTAGTCTCGAAATAGTTTACTTTAAGAACAAAGAGAAATCCAGCTTCTAGTTAACTACTGGTTAACGTGCTTTTTAAAAAACTCTTTTGACTCACCTTAGTCCAAGGATGTGCCTTAATTTGAGGGAATTTGAATTCTGTGTAGTTTGGGTTCATTTCTCTAATTTGCTCCCTTGTTGGTGTCCCCAGGACCTAGATAAAGAAAGCAAGTTATTGCTGTATTTTTCTATGTACTTACAAATATAGTCTTTATGTCTTAATGTACTGGTTTTACTGGAAAAAGGAATTCCAAAGTTATAAAATACACAGCTCATTAAATAGAGCAGACTTTATAAAAAGACTTTCATTTCTAACTGACTACAGAACCCATGCTATCCTACCGTATACAGACATTTATGATAATAGTAATGTTAAATCAGCTTGTAAAAGAAAGATCACTCAAAAATATTCAAGTAAAAATCAGGCATCCTCGTTCTGTCTAGAAAAACAATCTATTGCAATGATGGCATCTGAAATGAGAGTATCTTTTATTCATTTAGTAAAGTAAGCCGAAGGTTTTATTATCAATAAACTGTTGATATTTAGGAGGATCTTAGTCAAACATGGTCATCAATAATTCCATTCAATCACTGAATATTAAGTGAGTGTCTCTGTGTACTAGGAACTACACTATGGTATATGAAGGATACAAAGAACAAGAGATTTCCTGCTATGATAAACTTACTTATTTGTGTGTGGAAAAAAGTATAACTATAATACAAGATGAAAATATATCAAGTACTTCATTGCCTCCAGAGCTGTATTAGGCACCAGACAAAGGAAAGTATATGGACCTGAGTGCACAAAGCAGATGATGGGAAGAAACACTAAATACTAAAATGAGTACTTTGAAGAAAGATGACATTTATTGCCCATCTTTATAACTCTAGGGCCTGATATAAAACAAGTTTGTTAAAATAAAATGTTAAGCCATTTACAATTCAAGGATAGTTGTGCAGAAGGAGTAGAATGTAATGATAAGTACTTGATTTGTGGCGAATAATCATGGCAAAGTAAAAATTTCAGGTTTTTGTTGTTGTTTCTACTTCTGTAGACTTCATTAAAACTTGCAGAACTTAATCAAAATTTTAAAAGTTTTATTCTTCAAAAGACACTCTTAAGAAAACAAAAGGTAAGCTAGACTGAGAGAAAACATTTGCAAAACATATTCAAAGGACTTGTATCTCGAATATACAAGGACTCTTATAATTCAAAAACAGAAAGACAACACAATAAAAATGGGCAAAAGATATGACCAGATACTTCACAGAAGACACAGAGATGGCAAATAAGCACATTAAACGACGTTCAATATCACTGATCATTAGGGAAATGCTAATTAAAACTACAAGATACTACCTACTAAGGCGGCTAAAATTAAAAGGACTATGTATACAAAGTCTTGTTGAGAATGTACAGCAAGTGAAACTCTCATCCAGTGCTGGTGGAATTGTAAAGAAGTTATACTCATCATTCCCTCTCCTAGGTAGTTACCCAAGATAATTAAAAGCCTATGTCCATACAAAGACTTGTACACTAATGTGCATAGCATCTTTCTTGCCACTGCCAGGAAGTGGAAATAACTCAAATGTCCACAACACGGTGAATGAACAAATAGTGGTATATTAATACAATGCAATACTACTCAGTAATAATAATAATAATAAAAACATGGATGAATAATTATACTGAGCAAAAGCAAATGAAAAAAGTACCTACTGTATAATTTAATTCATATGGAATTCTAGAACGTTTTCTGCCTATAGTGACAGAAAGAAGATCCATAGTTATGAGGAGCTGGAGGCAAGTATTACAAAGAGGTACTAGGACATTTTTAGAGGTGATAAATATTTATAAACTTCCTTTCCTTCTTGTAGCAGAATTCCAGCTTTACAGAGAGAAGCAAGGTGTATTGAGAAGGGAAATCTCTGATCTTTGTAGCTGTAACTATCAGATATTTAAAAGTCAGGAGCTATCCATACTTAAAATATGAAAAACAAAAGTTTTAATTTTTAAATAATAAAGCGAGCACTTATGTTCTAAATTAGACCCTTGATGAAGGGTGTACATGTATAACATGTACTGGGAAAAAGGGAAAAGAGTGAAAAAGAAGGGAGAGTGAACTTATCGATAATTCTACCTCCTAAATGCAACTCCACTGGATTTTTTTAAGTGCTAAAGAAAAACAACAGCAATGACTTGAAAACACATGAGTATTTAAAATGCATACCTTCAGGGACTTCCCTGGTGGTCCAGTGGTAAAGAATCCACCTCCCAATGCAGGGGATGTGGGTTCGATCCCTGGTCAGGGAACTAGGATCCCAGATGCCACGGGGCAACTAAGCCCACGTGCCACAAACTACTGCAGAGCTCACACACTCCGGAGCCCGAGTGCCACAACTAGAGAGAAGCCCACGTGCCACAACAAAAGATCCCACATGCCACAACGAAGATCCCGTGTGCCACAACTAAGACCCAATGCAGTCAAATAAATAAATAATAAAAAAAAATGAAATGCATACCTTTAATGATTTTACAACCCACTAATTCCATTTTAAGGCATATACTCTAACCTAGAGAATCTCTTTATATATATATACACACATATATATAGTCTGTAATATATATATATATAGTCTGTAATATATATATGTAATCTGTAATAATATAATATTGCAGGCAAAAACAAAAATCCAAAAGTAGAATAAATAAATTAAATTGTGGTATAGTCATACAATGATATACTAACTAGCAATGAAAATAAATGAACTAGAGCTACACATACCTCGTGGATGAATCTCATGCAGTGGTGAGTTTTCACTCAATAATGAATACATATAGTATAACTGCCTTATATAAAGTTTAAAAACAGGTAACACTATATTTTAGTTTACATAGTAAAACTAAATCAAAAGCATGGGAATATTCATTAGAAAAATCAAGTATAGATTATTTAGCTTACTAGAAAGGATGTAGGAGGAGGGACTGTGAGTGGGATGGGCATTAAGTAGTTCTTCTAATTCTAATTCTTAATATGAGTGGTACTTACATGGATATCCACTTTATTATTATGCTTTAAACTTAATATATTTTTGCATTATGATACGTTTCACAATAAACAAAATGACACTTAAGAAATGCCCACTCTCAAATCAGTGAGTATTTTTTTGCAGTCTCCCTGTATTTATTCAATACTTTGTTAACACAAGGCACGGTCCTAACTCCCTACAAGCTGGTAAGAATGCCAAAAGAAATGAGCATTGTATGCTACCCATTAGTAAATACATTTTTTTACTGTATGAACACAGATCACATGAACTTATCAGCCATTTGGCTGACTGTCCCATATTTACACACTGTATAATTAAAAGGCAGGATGCTCCTTGAAGTTTCAATTCTTATGTTTTTTTATTATAGCCTATGAATATTCCCAGGGGAAGAAAACCTGTGAAATATACACTAAAACAGCTGAGAAACTTATGACATATACAAAAGGTTTGCTTAACATACAAATTTTAATAATTTATTTTATGTGAAAGCAAGAAGGTATACTATATGTGTGCATATGTATAGTCACTCTCATATTCTCCCTAAATCCACTAGTCCAGGGATTAGTGTCTCACAGCCACTTAGATCTAAACATTTATCCAAAATTTTATACATGAAAAATTTCAAACATGAGAAAGTTGCACCTTTTCTTAACTAGTGAAAATGCCCTCGTCTATACCACCTCGATTCTATGATTAATATTTTACTATATTTGTTTCATCACATTTCCACCCCTCAATCCATATATCGATCCACCTTATTTTTTGATGCATTTGAAAGTCAGCTGCAGACACTAGTATATGTCAGCATACATATAATTAACTAAGGTTCAATATTTCTGGCATTTTCATCTAAGCATTTTTTACATACCTAGAATTCTCCTTCGATATACACCAGGTACATGGATGTGGAAAAAAATCTTTTATCACAATGGGAAATAATCTGCTTTGATGAATAGTTATGATATAAAAAAGATTCTTAATTACACTTCTGATTAGTGGCCAGTTTAACTGTGTTCTTTACCTTCAAAATGTGGATATTTGTGACTTTTAAGAAACTTAATTACTAACTAGTAAATGGAATCATTGACATATTCACTATCAATTATTTAAAAGCAATTAAGCAAATGAACTAGCATGTTACCACAAAGTGGCAATAGAGATCTCCCTACTCCTTTGTTACTGCCACATGACCTTGAATCACTAAGGCCATTAGATGGGGAAAGCGAAATTCCAATGTCACAGTCTGTTCTATGTTTAATTTCTCTTGCTAAATATTCAACTACTATAACAATTTTTCTATTCTTTTTCTTCTCACTTTTAAATCTTGAAAGCACATTCTCCCCAGGCTGGCTAACAGAGATGAAAAGTAGATGGGAGATCCACTAGTCCAGGGATTAGCAAACTTTTTTTAAAGGGCCAGAGAGTAAGTACCTTAGGCTTTGTGGGCCATACAGCCTCTGTCACTAGTCAGCTCTACTAGTGTAGCACAAAGCAGCCATACATAAATAGGCAGCAGACTTAATATGGTCCCTGGGCCCTAGTTGCTGACCTCTAATCTAGTCTAAACATTTTTAGAGATGAGAAAAACTGAAGCCCAGAAAGAACAACTTTTCAGAGGTCAGAACTAATCAGAAGCAGAGCTAGAACATAATTTAAATCTCGGGACTTCCCTGGTGGTCCAGTGGTTAAGACTCCACATTCCCAATGCAGGGTTCAATCCCTGGTCAGGGAACTAGATCCCTCATGCCGCAACTAAAGATCCTGTGTGCCGCAAATAAGACCTGGCGCAGCCAAATAAATAAATAAATATTAAACAAACAAACAAACATAAGAAAGACAAATCTTAAAAAGAAATATTTAAATCTCATCAGTGGCAAACCAATTTTAGGAGATGGTATGAAAGAATCTGTTTATTGACTTGGTTGGAGGACAAACAATTTCAGCTTTTAATGTTGGTAGTTGTGAAAAATTTTGATGCTATTAAGCATGAAGGAATAGAGCTGGAGGAGAAAACAGTATTTAAGATATTCAAGAAGAACCTGGAGGAGTTCTCCACCAAGTGGTGGATATAAGTATATCATTTAGAAGTGAGCCTGAGGATGG